TGGTTCTGGGAGAAGGTTGAGGATGAAGGGGAGCAGGTAGGTGGTTCTGGGAGAAGGTTGAGGATGAAGGGGAGCAGGTAGGTGATTCTGGGAGAGAGAGAGAGAGAGAGAGAGGGAGCTTTCCAGGCAGAGAAGTAGCAGCTGTAGGGCAAATGCCCCCAAGGAAAGAGGCAGGGAGCTCAGGGGAGAGCTGAGAGGGAGGCGGCTGCTGGGTCGTGCAGTGAGCATGTGGGGTGAGCGGTCTGCCGTTTAGTCCTGCAGCACTGACAACACCTTGTTGACTCGGCCTTGACATGACACGTCACGTTTGCATTTTCAAAAGATCTTCCTGGACTAAAAACTTTCCGCACAGCAAAGGAAATCCTAAGCAAAATGAAAAGGCAACCTACTGAAGAGGAAGGAGTGTTTGCAAATCATGTATCTGATAAGGAGTTAATTACCAAAATATATAAAGAACTCATACAATTCAGTAGCAAAAAGACCAAACTATCTGATTTAAAAAATGGACAGAGGAGCTGAACAGACATTTTTCCAAAGAAGATATACAGATGGCCAGGGAGCACACGAAAAGATGCTCAACATTACTAATCGTTCAGGAAGTGCAAATCAAAACCACAATGAGATATCACCTCACACCAGGCAGGATGGCTATTACCAAAAACACAAGAAATAACAAGTGTTGGTGAGGATATGGAGAAAAGGGAGCCCTCGTGCACTGTTGGTGAGAATGCAAACTGGTGTAGCCACTCTGGAAAATAGTATGGAGGTTCCTCAAAAAGTTAAAAATAGAACTACCCTATGATCTAGCAATTCCACTTCTGGGTATTTATCCAAAGAGAATGAAAACACTAACACAAAAAGTATATGCACCTCTGGAATATTAATTGTATGGAAAACCAAAATACAATACAAATACAATTTTAATTCCATATATATAAAATACAATACAAATCTAATCCACACACAATGGAATATTATTCAGTCATAAAAAAGAATGAAATCTTGCCATTTGCAACTACATGAATAGAACTTGAGGGCATTATGCTAAGTGAAATAAGCCAGAGAAAAACAGATACTGTATGATCTCACTTACATGTGGAATTTAAACAACAGCAAATCAAGCTCCTAGACACAGAGAACAAACTGATGGTTGCCAGAGGCGGGGGATGGGAGGCAGGAGAAATGGGTGATGAAGGTCAAAAGGTACAAACTTCTAGTTATAAAATAAGTCCTGGGGATATAATGTACAGCATGGTGACTAGGTTATTAATTCTGTGTTGCATATTTGAAAGTTGCTAAGAGAGTAGGTCTTAAAAGTCCTCCTCACAAGAAAAAAGCTATGTTGCTATGCATGGTGATGGATGGTAACTAGACTTACTGCAGTGATCAGTTTGCAGTGTATAGAGATATTGAATCACTATGTTGTACACCTGAAACCAATATAATGCTATACCTCAATTACACCTCAATAATTAAAAAGATTCTAGCTACTGGTGGAGAGAAGATTGCAGGGGAGAAGAGGACCATAGTCAGGAGACTTGGAGGGTCCAGGACAGAGAGTTGTTTGCTTAGACCAGGACGGTGGTGGTGAAGCAGAAGAAAAGTAGGAAGTGTTCAGAGCTACTTAGCAGGTGAAATTTATACTCAAGTGCCCACCAAGGGATGAAGTAACTTTGGAGGGGGCTAAGAGGACAGAGGTATGTCAAGGAAGACTCCTTGATTTCTGATTCACATAGGTGCATGGAAGATGCCATTCACAGAAATGGCACATATACAATCTTCAAAAAAACAACCTTATATATTGAACACCTTTACCATTACTCATCTTTGGA